GCGTCGGACTGGTAATGAAGCTGAGCCTTAACACATATGCTTGTCTGGGAGGAAGCGATGGTTTGTGGACAGAGTGAAAACCAGTAATTTTGACCTGACATTTGTACGTACCTTGATCTCCTGTTTCAAAATGTCTTTGTTCTTCTGTGAAATAAGGTTGATATTCCGCAGTGCTACGTACTGTATTTCTGGTTCAGCCGACAACAGCGTTACGAGCGGGGGCGCAAGTTTCTTGGTAGTGGTGACTGCCATGTCGGAGTCGGGAGTAATCAAACCCAGTGTGCGTATAATAACTTTCACCGCAGAGAGGACCACGGCTGAGTTGGCATGCGCAAGGCGGGGCATCACACGCTCAATAATCCCCTTTGCCTCGCGTTCATCGGCTGGCGTGTACTCCGCGATGGCATCTAGGATGAAGATTTGTCCCCACCTAGAAAGATTATGGGGAGCAGATGAGTAGCATGGAGGACAATTTTTTGGTTCGTTTTATAACAATACTAAATTGTGGAATCTGTAATACAGAAAGGACTAGTAAACAAATGTTTGATATAGCTAATCCAAATGGGATATTTACGAGGGTAGAAGTGAGGCCGCTACCCGATCTCCATGATGTAGATGAATTTCCATACTGACCTATTACATACTATTATGTTGTAAAGAAGGCACATTCCGTAGGCTAAAGCATACTTTTAGTACTCCATAGCTCGACTCCGTGTGTTCTTCTCTGATAATATACACAACTAACGTTGAAAATGCAATAACACTGCGGATCTCCCCATCAGACCTTTACAACTTGTGAGCATCGCATGATCTGTCAGGAAGGGTCTGGGTGACCTCCAAACTGAACAGCCAATTTACATAAATATAAACAGTTAATTAATTAGGGCATTGACAGGTTTGAATAATTCATTTAACCCAGTTGTGAAAATGTTGGCGGCCTTGGTGACATTCAAACTCACAACAGTTATGACTTTACTACGGCCAACGCCCTAGCCATCTGAGCAACGAGACCCAACCGGGAGCCGTGAGTACACTCACAATTTGCCTAGCCT